ATTACCCATTGTGACAGTAATATTGCGACTGTAATTTGTCATTGTCATGTCAACGAGGGCTCCGTCTTGAGGAACCAGACCGCAATCGACACGATATTCATCAAGAACATTGCTTTGTGTAGAATTGATTGTGTTGTCCAGCAATTTTCTTATCTTTTGAATATTATAGTTTGAACATAATTGTTGACAATTCAAATCCGTACTATTATCTGATGTAGTGGCGGCACGACGTTTTCGCCTTTGGCCTGGACCGACCACGCATTGCGTCGAAGACTGTTTCGTCGGTGCCTTTGCAGATCTGGTAAAAGTTAAGCGTGTGAAAAAGGTCGCCAAAAGAAATGATTTCTGCTTTTTTCTTAAGCAGAATCAGAAAAGTTGATACATACGCTCTTTTCCTTCGTCCACTTGCCAACAATGTTTCTATAACTTGTTTTGTCAATACTGCTGTCATATTGATTTGTGCGAATATAATGGTCAACTAGAGAAAGCATGAAGAGAAAGAATGAATGAATACCTTTTCCAATATTTTTTGCCGATTTGATCTACTTACTCGTTGTTGAAAAGACAAAATTGCAGCCGTCGTTGGTGTTAATTTACCATCTGTTGTTGTGTCGTTATCATAATAAACAAACTTTAAATCGTCTATTGTATAGGCTATACGGAAACAATACAAACATAAGTAACGAAATAATGTACTAAATCAAACAGAAGAAGTAAAAAAATAAGAATGAAAACGAAAACGAAAAACAACTGGCTGAATCAACCATTGTATTAGCCACTAGAAAGCCAATAAGCAAACGCGTCTACTGGTTTCCGTTGTTGAAATGGTTGACGTTATCGGAAACTTTGGACTACGGTATGAGAACAATATTGCCTTTACACTTGATTCTTAAAAATTCCAAAAGACTTTCTACGAGCACGGAAAGTTTCGTATGAACCCTGTCAAAACTGCGCTTTTTGAAACACACTTTGAAAACAATTTAGATTTTGACGTTGCATAGGTAAGAAACGATTGTCGAAATTTAACTATCTCACAAATCATCATCTTGTTGCTATCCCATCGGTGGAAGAAGGAAAAGAAAGTGAAGAAATGCTAGCAGCATTTCATCTTAACGTGCATTTTGAAAAACTGAAGGATATAGTCGTCGGATATAGGCGGTTTTGAAAAATATCTTCGATGACGAATCTTATACAGTAAAGTACGACGAGTTTTTCTGTCGACACCAGTCAAATACTGATATTTCTCAGCAGCGCCTCTTTCCACACTTTTAGACAAGTAACAAAATTGTAAAATCAAGTTCCTTTGTACTCTCATTCAAAAATAAAATATTAAGACTAACCATCGGTTTTTACTTACATTGTGCTACATCATTGCAATTGCAATTAACTGAAACAAAAAGACATAAATAAACTCGTTAGTTCACATATTTATTTTCTCAAATTAATAAAAAATGTTTTGATTCCACTTGTATCCATCACAAATTATAACTTTATTTAATTGTTTGTTGAAAGGTTTATACTTGTGAACTCTTGAAGATATTTTCAGATGTTCCTGTTAATATCAATGTGAAACGTCTTTTTCTATCAGATCATGGCCCGAACAGAAAGCTGCAAAGCCATAGCACTGAAAAGAAAGTCCATTTAAAACTGATCTCACTAAAAAATGAAAATTGCCTTTTGATGAAGTTAAGAAGTGACATTTGTTACCCTGTATCTCGAAAGGCGCACAGTACGTTTTCGAAAAATAGCTGGCCATGATGTCGAACATTTTCTCTTTCAGATGAGACAAAAATTAGAAATGGACACACTCTAACTCATTTCCATTTTCACTCGTTAAGTTGAGCGATTTTGCATTAAACGCCTAGTGAGTGAAGTTTTCTTTAGATAGCAGAGTAGATCAACGTTTAGAGTAAAAGATAAAATTCGTTCTTCTTTATTTCGTTATTTAGACAAAAACGGGAACCGGAAAGTTCAGCACGGGGAATTTGCAGCACGGAAACTTCAGCACGGGAAATTTGAGCACAGGAATAATCAGCACGATGATTGTTCAGAACAGGAATGATGAGCACCAAAAAAATCACCGGAAATATTGGATGAATAGTAATCATCTATTAATCAAACTAAAATTTGATCATAAAAACTAATCATCAGTGTAAACTGCATCAGATTAGTAGTCTTCAATGGGTAGTAATAAATCGATTACTCTCTACTATAAATAATGACGGAACATGTCTGCTCTCTAGCATTATCAATTCTTCAATATGGCAACAATTTCTAATAACGTTACAACAAAGCAAAAACCACGTTTAGATCTCAACGTGTTCTGAACAATCATCGTCTTGCTTATTCCTGTGCTGAAGTTTCCATACTGAATATTCTGTGCTGAAAATTCCTCCTGCTGAACTTTCATCAATCAAAAACATGTAATTCAACTTTGTGTAAGTTAAATTGTGCAACTGATAATAGA